TATTTGGCTCCGGACACCAACTCATCATACTACCGAACAACACACAACTATACCCGTTCACTATTGCTTACAACAATAAACCGCTATATCAACTCTTTAGTAATAACCATCTACACTAACTTATTATATCTCACAACAGAAAAACAGCTATACTAGCTATTTAACTCATCCAACGTCACTCGGCTATAAACTCAGCTAAACCAACTCATTACACTATATAACAATATCTAGCTATAATACTTTGGTATGCCACTTAATTATTTCAAATTACATTAATCATCAATAACACATATTGTATAATCATCATATCAATAACCATTATATATCTGGATATCAATTCTATTGAAGAAGCTATGATTCTCACCTAAGGAATGTTTTATGTGCGTCAGCGTCCAACTCTTGAAATACTATCCTTGTCCTCGCTTCCATTACTTCAACAACTTTCAAGATAATATCTTGAGTATCGTAACTCAAGACATATCTCATTTATATGTTTAACTCAATATTTTCACCAAGTAGATAGTACTAAACTATATAGCTAAACCTGTTAAGCTTCATGAATTACTTATCCACGTGTCTTAATCCATTAGTACATAAGCTTAATCTCATTTTAAATCTTTATTAGTACATAAGATTATTCTCATTTTAAATCTTCATTTCACCAATTAAATATCATGACTCCATTTATAATTCACTTGTACATGACTTAATTTCTCAACTAACTTTTACACAAAATAGCATTATACTCCATAAAACAATCATTAACCACTCTTAATTTATTAATATACGCCATAACTTCATCTTATATACCATTTCACCTGATAGATTTTCTACATACTAACACATGATTATACGCAACGAAAGCATACAAAAAATCATATGTGTTCATGCAACCCATAAGGATTTAAGTTTCATTATGTTATTGCAGCTACTAAAAGTAATAAAGAAAATTGCATACCTCTTTTGAAGCTAGAGAGTTTCTTGCTTGAGATCTAGTTTTTTGTAACCTTTGGTTGGATATGAGGATCCAACGTAGCATCCATATAATGGTTCACACTCAAGAACACCAAGAGCAAAACAAAAGAAACCCTAAGAGAGGGTAGGCTAGGAACAAAAAATCCACAAACCCAAGAAGGGTTAAAGTTTTCATCCAAGAGGGAGGGGATGCAAGAGGCCAAATTTTTCAGTAGAAAATGAGCATCTAGGGTTTGATCCTTAACTCCCTCTTTAGAGGTTCCAGTTGCTTAGTCCAAAAACAACTCCAAAACCCTAATATGCCTTATCTGAAAATTGTCCAACCCTATACCTAGGAGTTCCAAAATCTTCCAATTAGTAAAATATTTTAATTAATTAACATTCAACCCCTTTATTTAATTAATTCCCAACCTTTTTAATTAATTAATTCTCAATTAATTTCAAATTTCTAATTAATTAATCATAACATGAAAAATTAATAAACTAATTTCTTCTAAATTATTTTCGCATTTTATTTGCTCAAATGGGTCTTAAGGGCAACCCAAAAAGACCCTGCTATTATTAGAAATATCACCAATTTATGACCTTGGACATTTTTTCCATCAGTCTCCCACTTGGACAAATCATCAACTATATGAGGTCTACTTATTGAATCGTAAGATAATCAACAAACAAAGTATTAAACACGAATTCACAAAGTCTTAATCTAAAACTTATTCCGATTAAGGTATTTCTTAATAAATCTCTCACAAAGAGAGAGTCCACAAAGCGAGGTAGTTTTACAAAGAACCCTACCATAACTTATATACTAGGATAAACAAACTAATATAAGGAAATCCCTATATATCGGGGATTTATTAAAAAAAATCTATACATTGATAAGATCCTAATCACTAAGATTGCGGGTTTGAAACTCCATGCACAAGGAAACTTTATGATGGTGCAAATAAGTTATATACATTATGTGAGACGTTGTGTGATTATCAACGTGAAATCAGTTTGACACTCATCAGATTATAAGGTTCGAACTTACAATCTCCCACAATCTAATGATGTCGAAACTTATAAGGACAACTACTCAAAGTTGCGAGTCAGAACTTTATCTGTTTCGCTGATAATCTCAAGCTTGATCCATTTGTAGTCATCCGTCAGTAGTTCGTTCCTCCTCTTACTAACCTCAAAAGATAACAACCAATGGAAATAGTCAAAACTTCAAAATCTTCATTAAACTCTAAATAATGTAAACATTATGAATAACCATCGATCTTACACACTATACAATGTCCATCCTAATTATCATTAATTTATAATATTTAATCTGTTATTAAAAATTATTAAAAAACCAATTACTAAGATTTATTATTTGAATTTGTTCCACTTACGGGAATATAATAAAAAATTATAAAAGTTATAAAAAAGTAAAAATAGAAAGATTATACGTGTTGGAGCAATCATTGCAAGGAATATATAATTAAGCAAGACCCGAATTATATTATGATGTACTATCGATTATATCATGTTATAATCATGCTGCAATAGGTACATTATATACAATTATTTATGTTTACTATTTTAATGATGGTGGGCATCAATGACATAGCTAATTTAGCTACTGAATATAATTTATGATTCAAATTTTAAAATTTTAATGATAAAAAAGTTTCAAGAAGTCTTAGTTTGGCCGTATCAGCTTCTTAGCCCATTAACCGACCGGATGTCAAAAACGCGTTCATACACGGCGAGTAAACGAAAATGTAAAATGTGTTGGCCTTTTTAACTAGAAGTATTTTTAGAAGTTTAATCCGTTTTTTCTATTTTTGTTTGTTAATACTGTATTTATTATTTGCTTATTTATTTTATTTTTTATTTCTGTCCTTATAACAGGTTTACATGCTACCATTAAATTAAAATTTTCAAAAAAATCCTTTAAGTTAATCTTTACCCATAAGTATTTTCTATTTCTAAAAAACCTATCTATATGATGTTTACTTAAAAAAAAAAATCATGTATAAATATGTTTTTTTTTCTGTATAAATTAGGATAAAAACGTAAAAAATTTATAAATTTAAAAGTTTTTTTTTTGTAAATTTTATTGTTTGCCGCTTTCAAAAATCATTACATGAGATCAAACACGTGCTGCCATGTATGATACAACCTTTTTGCAATATTTATCATTTCGACGGGGTTCTCTAGTAGCATTTCTGAGTACTCGCTATTCATTTATCATAAGAATAGTGATATCACATACTCTTATGCATAGATGAGATGGTTTTATCGACCTCTATGAAAAACTTCTATAACAAATTATTCACACAATGTCCAACAAGTTCGCAACAACGTACTTGGGGCCATTACATCCCCTTGTAGGCTACAAGGGGTTGTTCTTATAACAAACTCTCTATGTAAAAGAAATCCTTGAAAGAACTCATATTTCTGTTTGCAAACACACACCTACGTTTGTTGATACAAACTACAAGCTCAATATCATTGATGGCCCGGTACTCGCCGAAAATTTTCTTTATTGAAAAATTGCTTGTGTTTTATATTAGCGACTACATATTACATATGATGTTTAAAATGTTTACATGTTCATGCACGCACAACGAGAACCACATTTTTAGTTCCTCAAGCATATACTATGTTAATTTAAAGGAACTCTTCGATTATAGTCTTCTTCATGCAATCCAGTCTCTCAAGCTCACACCCTATACCCATACAATACAAACGGGGGGTGCCTCGACTCGCGTCTCTCCATATTCGGAAACTTTGTATTTATGGGTGATAATCTTTTCTTGTGGCCCTCTGAATGACAAGCCAAAACTTTGTGATCTAACGTCGAAGTCGAATATGGAAGGGTTGTGAATGTCGTAGCAAAAATAAGTTAGGTTCCTAACCTTCTTTATGAGCTCTATGTTCGCATAAACATTGCCACACTAATGTATTGTGATAATGTTTCAATAGTTTATCTCACTGCAAAAGCAATACAACATCAACAGACCAAACATGTCAAACTCGACATTCATTTAGACCAAACATGTCAAACTCGACATTCATTTTGTTCGGCAAAAAGTTCAACTCGGCACTAGGATAATTCTCCACTTTTTTGGTTGGATATCACTACGTGGATACATTCACCAAAAGACTTCTTTGTTTTTTGTTTGAAAGATTCCGTACTAGTTTAAACTTCTGCAAAGCTCCCGATCAAACTATGGGGTAATATTCGATAGATACATATCATCTTGTATGCATTTGAATTATTAATTGAGATCCTTCTCATAATATGAGAAGTAGGTTGCTTGTAGTTTGTATAAATACCCTTTTCCAATAAATGAGAACTCAAGAAATTATGTTCTAGTATATAACAGAGAGAAGAAAGAAATAGCTACAACAAAAATGTTTTTTAGGTGCATGTAAAGTCATATAATTATCAAATTGAAAACACGTGAAATTATGTTAGGTTACACTCAAGAGAAATTGTCAGAAAAATCCCAATATTTTTGGAAAAATTTCACTTTAGTCCCAATTTTTATTTTTTGAATAGAAAAGTCCTGATTATATCATTTTGACTCAAATTAACAAAAAAACAATTTTTTCTTTTAACAGGAAATGACATATTATCATATAAAATCAAATAATTGAGATTTTTTTGTTCAAAAAATAAAATTTGGAACTAAAGTGAAATGTTTATTAGGATTTTTCTAGCAATTTCCCTGCACCCAATTATAAAATATAAATTTTAAAAATCATAACACTTGTTTTTGAAAGGCATATCCAAACACCCTTTGAAATTTTTTTTAGTATATTACAGAATTATAAATAATACTCAAATTAAAATCTCAAAAGTGAAAAAGGATATGATTCCAATATGCCGATTGCCAAATTAGAAAAAAGTGAAGTAGTGTGGTTTCCATTATAGATTCTCATTCTTTAGCCATTATATATTGTTCTCATCAATCCCAACTTAGAGATACCGATTTCATCATAGTCTTCACTCTTAAACTAAATCTTTTTAGACCAGAAGTCACATGGCGATCATGCGGTGTGTACAATTGGATCCAAGCAGATCAATGACATTTGATGAATTCAAAGCATGGTTACGTAGATACGATGACAACCATGATGGTCGTATAAGCCAAGAAGAATTCAAAGAGGCGCTTCATGGTTTGAAGGTATGGTTTGGGAGTTGGAAGGCCAAAAAGGGGATGACATTTGCTGATTCTGATGGCAATGGCACTATCGATAGTGCCAACGAGATGGAGAAGCTCGTGAAGTTTGCACAAAAACATTTACACATGAAAATATATGATCGTTAGTGATGATTGTAAAAGCTCTTTTTTCTTGCTAAACATACTTCAGTGCAAAATATCGTAATTTCTCTGGATTAATGGTTTTGATAGCAACTACAAATCTCTATCTTACAAGTTTGGTTGTGTGTGTTATTGATGTTATTAGACTAGATATATTATCTTTACCTTTCATGTAATTATTTCCTTATTGACGGATTCGTTTATTATTGTATTTGTACATCCTTGATTAATGAGAAAGGCAAGCAATTAACAATAGTTAATTTTTCATGGTATTAGATTTATCACTTCATAGATCCCTACCACTAAATTCTACTACTTCTTCTTCGTCCCCATGACCATCGAGAACAAGTTGTTTCATCCCCCAATAACATGATCCAACATCAAGAACGTCATCCCCATCACCTTGGAGATGGAAAAAGGACAAATTATTATTATATTTATATTAACTTAATTTGTTTAATTATATTATTATATTAATTTATTATTTTGTAATATAAATATATATTAAGAAACATACGCGCGTGATATATCTATTAAGTTATATATTCACCAAATATATTGATACATTTTTTGATTTACAAATATGTTCAAGATAAGGATTGTTCATACTGTAATATCTAACCATCACATGGATTTTTAAATTTTGTTGGTGTACTTTAACATTTTGAAAATATTTATTGAAAAATAAATAAATTAAAAATTATTATTTTAAATTTAAATGATTAAAAACATGTATAAAATAGTTATTTATGTGTCATGGATACCACTTTTGAAAAGTGTTTGTTATTTATTGGCCCAGGAATACTTGTAACCTACCTTGTCTGTACCTACCTAACAAAGTAAATATTTTCTATATGTTAAAACATTTTATATGTATAACTAAAAGACAAACATGTTTATGAAGTATGAACAATTACATTTGGAGCTGACTTCAATTTGGAGCTGGACACTTTTGGCCCCTGTGTTTTTTCATTTGCCTTTCTTTCAACCTTGGAGTAGTAACGTGGCGTTTTGCTGTTGATTTGGAAGGAATAGAATGAGAAGGATGTTGGCACGTCGCATATGTTTGGAACAGAGGCATACGCTCCTCCCTCTGTAACCCTAAATCCGGAGACAACCATACATACGCGTTTTCTATGACTAGATTGTAAGAAGAGTTTTTGTAACAAATTCTAGGTTCTTACAGCTTCAAGACCATGCATGCATAAGCATCCTCCCAAAGAATACTATGCATGTTTATATTTTGATTGCAAAGTTGTATGTTATGACAGAGGTTATTGGGTCGTAGGTGGGTAAATATGACTCCGTTATTAGCAGAAGAGTTGTTGGTAACACAGTAACAGATTACCAGGTTCTTGTATTTTGTTATTTGTACCCATTATTAATTGATTCCTACTTGAGAGTTATTTGTTGCAACAAATCAATGTGGTTATTGATCCGTTGGTGGGAACAATCATGAGGATTTGCCATTCTTCTATTTCTGGGTAATTGCAATATTCTAAACGTACAGGTTTAGTTCTACTTCGTCCTAAAATAGTTTCACTTTTGTTTGTTTTCGTGGATTCGGGATTAAAATGTTTAATAGATGCATATATTTTTCCGGTTTAAATAAATGATAAATTATTTCTTCAATAAAATAATACATGCAAAAAGACAAACAAGATAAAGTTAATTTACGTGGTTCACACGATCAAGATGATTGACTACATCCACAACGAACACGAGAGAGAGAGAGAGAGAGAGAGAGAGAGAGAGAGAGAGAGAGCGAGAGAGGAGAGAGAGGGAGAGAGAGAGAGAGAGAGAGAGAGAGAGAGAGAGAGAGAGAGAGAGAGAGAGAGAGGCTTCAGTACAATGCATTATGTTACAAATGGAATATGAATACTAGTTGTTTGAGCTAGAAGTGTCATAAAGACCAAGAGGGACACCATGTTTGGTCTGTCTTGCAACTATAGAATTAAATGGTGAATCGGTCTCCACAACTTAACAATAGTAATTTTGTCTTAGGATTTGATTGATTATCTGATGGTTACTTACGATTAAACAATGGAGTAAGGCAAAACGGGACCCGTGCAGGGTGGACCTACTTGATGTCTCAGGTTTGCACGGGCAACCCATTAAACATTACCTTTTAAGTGCAAAATTTAGTGTAAATTCATCAAATTCCGTCATAAATCTGTTTGAAACCCGTTACAAAGTCTTAATAAGTGTAAATATGTCGGTGAAACCCTTTTAGTGTCAGATTGTGACGTAATCATAGAAACAACCGTCAAAAAATGAGTTTTTTTAGGGAGGAGGGAGTCGTTCCCTCCCAACCCACCGAACCCACTGCCACATCACTTTTTCTCTTTTATTTTTCTTCATCTTTCCAAACCCACAACACACGGAAATCCTATCTTTTTGAACTCACTCAACCCACTCAATTAAAAAAAATACAAAACGACTAAGGTACAAGTTTTAGAACACATGGTACAAGAGAAAATAAGAAAGAGAAAGTAGAGAGAGATGATGAAGTGGGTTAGTGAAACCAATCAACTCACTCGTTGAAGCGGGAGTGGTACCGCCGATAACTCTATTGCTAATTAAGATTTTACATTTAATTGTTTTGTATTTTTTTTTAATTGAGTGGGTTGAGTGGGTTCAAAAAGATATGATTTCCGTGTGTTGTGGGTTCGGAAATATGAAGAAAAACAAAAAAGAAAAAATGATGTGACAGTGGGTTCAGTGGGTTGGGAGGGAATGACTCCCTCCTCCCTTAGTAGTGCAACCTCTAATATTTCTTTCTGTGTCCGCCACTGACCCTATGTAGTCATGTTTGATCTCTTTTGTGGGTATAAGATTAAAAGGTGAATCGGTCTTCACAACTTAAAAATAGTAAATTTCTCTTCCAATTTGATTGTTTATCTTTTGGTTACTTAGGATTAAATAATGGAGTAAGTTTTATTGTTAAGGTTTTTACTTATGTTGGGCTAATTGAGTTCAATGTTTAGGCTAATTAAGTGATGTTGAACTCAATGTGGTGCAACAACAACTTGCTCCATCTTTTATCATGTGTTAAATTGCTACTTGCTATATACTAATTACTAAATTGTCATTCATATTCCAGTTTTTGAATCTATACTTGAGTATTGAATGTCAATTTATATTTGATTCTTGCCTACGATAAGACAATTGATGGTTTTCTTTCAAGAATGTGGCATCTTTTTAGGTGACATGCATATTTTAGTTTGTATGGATATGAATAATATTTAAGGTCAAATTTGCAAGTTTTAGTTTGTATGGATATTATTTATTTACATAAAAATAATAAAAATAATGTATTTCACTTTTATTTTACGGATTTATGTTTTATGTAGGTGCTTTAATTATATGGTACAAATATAGGGACATTAGTATGTCTTATTAAGCTTCTCTGTCCACGAATATTTGATTTTGATTTTTGAATAATCACTTAGAAAATTCACATCCAAGCATCTCAATTAATTAAAACTAATCATTCAACATTGAAAGAGAAAGAGATGCTTTTCTTATTAAGTACAAAAGGCCTCTAGGCTCTAAATAAGTACTCATTCAACACACAATCTACATCCATATATTATTTAGGCATTATCTTGACTTTTAAGTAATACCCATGTCACAATTTCAAAAGTAGAGAAAGATGCGATGCTAATGTAGTTAAAAGTGAAGATGTATGGTCACTATTCTAGATTCTCATTCCCTAGCCACTATATATCTTTCTCATCATTCTCAAGTCACATATATCAACTTCATTCTTCAACAAAAATCTTTAGGTCTCAATACACATGGCAATCATGAGATGCATACGATTGGAGCCTAACAGATCGATGACTATTGATGAATTCAAAGCATGGCTGCGCACCTATGATGACAACCGTGATGGTCGTATTAGTCAACAAGAATTTCAAGAGGCACTTCATGGTTTGAGAATATGGTTTGGGGGGTGGAAGGCGAAAAAGGCAATGGAAGCGGTTGATTCCAATCATAATGGCATCATCGACTCTGCAAATGAAATGGAGAAGTTGGTGAAGTTTGCTCAAAAGCATTTGCATATGAAGATCTACGAATCATGAGTGATGTAGATGGGTGTTTTCTTATATATTAATCTGGTATGTATCATGGAAGGGTGTTTGTAGTAATTTGTGTGTTTTCATTAAAAATAATGCTATATCTTTTTTATGCATCCTTCTAAAAATCTTCTTAATTTTCATTTAGCAAAACCTTGTGATGTTGCTACTTGTTCATTAAAAAGATTTTTAAGAGGATATATACATCATCACACTTTGATTAAATATTTAACATGTGATCAAAGGACCTCTGCTTTACTTTGATCAATATCTTATCCTAATTGTAATGTTTCATGAAGTTCGTTGTGATATTTTTCTTGTTAATATAGCGGTTATTTAATGTATTTACTTTTATGTATATGTAATATTTTGTGTGCAGTCATTATAAAATAATATAATTTATTGAAAAGTTATTGCATTTTTAATTGGCATCCAAATTGGAGTGATTATTGATGGACGATGGTTGTGATGCTTGTTGCAAGGTTCATATTATTTCCTTTACATGAAAGTTTATGTTCCGTGTCCCCATTTTTGCCTTTTCGCAATAATAATAAAAAATCAAGAATAACTACCCATTGTTCCAAGCAAAAATCAAATTTTTATTACCACAACTAACGAATATCATTATAAATATATATATAATTAATGATATTTATATTAGGGATAATTTCGTAAAAACCATTATATTTGTCATTTTTTCGGTTTAGCATGTCACAATGATAAGGTGAAATTTTTTTTAATTAAAGTCACTTAAATTAAAAACTTTGTTCTAATTTGACAACAATAATAAATGTTTTGTATTGTTTTCATTCTTTTAAGGTAACTAGTAAGTTGCACCAGCCTGATTTTTTTTTTCTGATATTTAGTGGGTCAGGTACATGAAAATCCAACATGTTGTACGGCCCGTCCTGATAAACTTCTTTAAATCCGGACTACAAACACAAATTTTGGTGAATGCAGTTGTTGAAATTCAAATGTAAAAAATTGTAGTCAAAATAGATTAAGAGGTACTCTTAAGTAATCAAATTCAAGAAAACAGTTCAAAACAGAACCACATTATTGCACACATGTAAACTTAATCAAGTTATAGTATAAAAGAATCTTTGATTGAAATAAAGCAATGAAAATATGTAATGAAACAGGAAATGAAAATAAAAAATAAAGATAAACATATCTGATGTGGATATCCCATAAATTGATTACAGAAACTTACTTCCGATTCAGGTCAAGTAAAGATTTTATGTTTATATTGTTGATGCTTAATATATGCAATACATATATATACATACATTTTTAAAGAAATTTCTTAAGAGATATCCCTTTTACATTGTTGCAACTTTGAGTTTATCCTTAAGCACACACAATCCCTATAACCTACAAATTAATTGATCAAATGTGGGAAAATGACTTATTAAGGTAATTAACTTTTCGGTATGTTCACATCTTGGTAACTATCTTTTTTTTGTATACATCTAGGTAACGAACTTGTTGGAAGTGTTCACATATGACCATTAGACCTGCTATATCAGGTTAAATCCTACATGTGAACACTTTCAACAAGTTCGTTACCTAGACGTGTACAAAAAAAATAGTTACCCAAATATGAACAAAATGAAAAGTAAAAGTAAATTACACGAATGGTCCCTGTGGTTTGGGAGAATTTGTGTTTTTGGTCCCTAACTTATTTTTTTAACTCGGATGGTCCCTACTGTTTATTTTTGTTGCGCATTTGGTCCCTGTCTTACGTAAAAAGACTATTGTGCCCTTATTAATTTATTTTTTATTTAATTTTCATATTTATGTATTTATTTTTTTATATATCTAAAAAAAGGTTAATAGACCCCACATATATGTATCTCCTCACCAAAAACCTCAAACCATATTTGAGAAATTTAATTCGGATGGCCCCTACTGTTTATTTTTGTTGCGTGTTTGGTCCCTGTCTTACCTAAAAAGAAATTACACGAATGGTCCCTATGGTTTGGGGTAATTTGTGCGTTTGGTCCCTAACTTATTTTTTTAACTCGGAAGGTCCCTACTATTTGTTATTGTTACGCGCTTGGCCCCTACTATTTGTTTTTGTTAAGCGCTTGGTCTCTGTCTTACCTAAAAAGACTATTATTTAAATAGGGAAAATGGTGGGGGTAAGTAATGTAAGGTGAAGGGGTGGGATTAGGGGTGTGTTTTTTTAAATAAATTAAAAAATGAAGGGCAAAATTGTCTTTTTTAGGTAAGACAGGGACCAAGTGCGTAACAAAAATAAACAGTAGGGACCTTTCGTGTTAAAAAAATAAGTTAGGGACCAAACGCGCAAATTACCCTAAACCATAGGGACCATTCGTGTAATTTACTCAAAAGACTATTGTGCCCTTATTAATTTATTTTTTAATTAATTTTTTTATTAATGTATTTATTTTTTATATATTTAAAAAAATTAATAGAACCCACATATCTGTATCTCCTCACCGTAAACCTGAAACCACATTTGAGAATTTTAATTTGGGTCTTGCCGGTCACCATCTCATCTCTCATCCTCCTCAACTTCTATTTCTTTTCCATCTTTAGTGTACGACGTCTTCACCATCATTCATTTTTTGGTACTTCAACTCTGGCGAACCAACACCATAACCTACTGTCTTTTCATCTTTAGTGGGTTGTGGTGTTGATTCGACGGAGTTAAAAAAGAAGGGATGGTGAAGACGTCGATATCACTAAAGATGAAAAATAAATAGAAGTTGATGAGGATGAGAGATGGGATGGTGATGAGATACAAATATGTGGGGTCTACTAATTTTTCTTAAATATATAAAGGATAAATACATAATAAGAAAATTAATTAAAAAAATAAATTAATAAGGGCACAATAGTCTTTTTAGGTAAGACAGGGACCAAGCTCTTAACAAAATTAAACAATAGGGATCATCCGAGGAGATACAAATATGTGGGGTCTATTAATTTTTTTAAATATGTAAAAAATAAATACATAAATAATAAAATTAATTAAAAAATAAATTAATAAGGGCACAATAGTCTTTTTAGGTAAGACAGGGACTAAACATGCAACAAAAATAAACAGTAGAGACCATCCAAGTTAAAAAAATAAATTAGGGACCAAAAACACAAATTTCCCCAAACCACAAGGACCATTCGTGTAATTTACTTTTACTTTTTGTTTTGTTTATATTTGGGTAACTATTTTTTTTTACACATCTAGGTAACGAACTTGTTGAAAGTGTTCACATCTAAGATTTAACCTGCTATAGCAGGTCATAATGGTCATATGTGAACACTTCCAACAAGTTTGTTACCTAGATGTGTACAAAAAAAAAGATAGTTACCTAGATGTGAACATACCGAAAAGTTAATTACCTTAATAAGTCATTTTCCCGATCAAGTGTCATTATCATTTGCATCATTTTAGAACGAAACAGAGAAAAACAAGAGCACTAAGTCCGAGACCAACTGAATAGGTTAAGTGACACCAACTAAGGAAAACAAAATGTTTTTTTGCAACCATCGAACAACATCCAAATTAGTTTCGGATTGAGCAGCAGTATAAACTCAGACAACAATTTCGTGTCATGGGAAAAACAACATTAGGGGCAAAATCGTCCAGATTTGATATTTTGCATACAAACGAGATGTTATTTTGTATTTTATTACAATACCTTTAATGGAATCACAAATTCAAAAAAAATTCAAAAATAGTTGAAATTAAGAAAGCCTTACGATCGAATTTAGGCAGTGTCAGTCAGAATTATTGGCTAAATTTGTTGGTTATGGTTTGTAGTAGCTAATTTTATATGTGCATCGTTTTTTGTCTCCAAAGCCTTTGCTTCATATGGCTCATTCTCATCAACTACAAAAGAAAATATACATCATATATATATATATATAATATATATATATATATGTATATATATATATATATATATATATATATATATATATATATATAGAACCTGTTAATTTGTTCCATCGTTTGTAAAGAAACCTTCCAATCTTTTGAAATGTGATACCAAGGATGTCCTTCTTGACATTCTAAATTTGGATCTAGGTGAGTGAGTGAGTAATCATAAGGGGTGTTACGAAAAATTGATATAATCTAACGAATGGACCTCTCTTTCAATCTGTGAGAAGAACATGAAACCACTCTAAAAATTGATATAATCTAACGAAAAATTGATATAATCCATCGTCTTCATTGGATGTTGGTCTCTTCTTACTTGAAGATGGTTTCAAAGTAGGAGTAAGTTCTTTTTTCGTTTCATTCTTTCACAGGTTTCTGAAAATAAAACAAAAGTCAATTACTTTTAAAATACATTGATTGATGTAATATGAAGGAAGAAACCAAAGTAAGATCCAAAACCTAATTACTTGGCTTCTTTTCGCCTCCACTTTGACTTCCATGGCAAGTTGTCTGATGTATTCCTCAATGAAAGTTGACATATCTAACCAGAATGAAGAAGTTTACAGATATGGGAACTGCATTAATATAATCATTAAGTTCTTAAAGAAATTTCCCATGGAATTCAGATAATTAATATTTGTGACAATTGTCAAATTGAATCCTTAAATGTTGGATCCCTAGCCTTGTACGAATATTGAAAAGCAGTTCATTACCGAATCAAGAATGCAGTGGACACAGTCACCAACAACATGAGCGTCCTCATCATAACCAAATTCAGTGTTGCCTGGAACAAATATAGAGTAAATTTTAGGATTATTAATGCTTGATTGCTAAACATATTTTGAGGTACGAATAAGATAATAACAAATGTAAGACAATGGTGTGCATAAAAGTACCTACTGGTTTTAAATTTATAAACCTAACTAACTTAACTAATTTATGTACCTATAGGCAGTGTACCAAGTCGAATTATAGAATAGCTTAGGTAAGTCGGGTGTCGAACATAGGGAAGATAATTTAATTAATAAAATAACTACTTTTAATTAAACTATGAAAACAAAATTTAAATTGAGGGTTTTTACTGATTTTGCAAGAT